TCTACACTGTGCTATATATTTGTTGTCGGTTGTACAGCAAAGTGACACTATATCGCCTGTTATGTCAGCTTATTATAGCTTGAGATATGCTCATTATAGCATGGGGATGGATAGTCCCACTGATAATGGTTTGGTAAAGAACGTCCTAGAAGCAGCCAGACGTAAATTAGCTAAGCCTGTAACGAAGAAGGAGCCTGTTGATATTGATATTCTGCATAAAGTGTACGATTCCAGGGGTAAAATGCATCATTGGCGGATTTGCGAATATTAGCTGTATGTTTACTGGCTTATTCGTGGTTTATGAGATCAGCAGAACTTTTTAAATATAACAAGATCAGATATTTTTCATTCTCATATGACTGTTTTATTGAGAAGTCGAAGACAGATGTATATAGAGATGGGGCATGGCTTGTAATAAGTCGGACCCATTCTAAGTTGTGTCCGGTGGAATGTCTCGACAGATACCTGAGAGCAGCGGAGATTTCACCAGAGTCTCAAGAATACATTTTCAGAAGTTTGACTAAAACTGGTAATGGTTATAAATTAAGAAAAGCTAACGCTCCTTTATCCTATACTAGACTTAGGGAAATTTTCTTGGAAGCTTTGTCACCTTTCGTGGTTAATATTAAGAGCTATGGTTTGCACAGTCTGCGCAGTGGTGGTGCTTCGGCAGCTGCAAATAACGGTATACCGGACAGAATGTTTAAACGACATGGGCGCTGGAAGAGCGAAAATGCTAAGGATGGTTACATCAAAGACAGCATTAATAGTAGAATGAAAGTCTCCTTATCCCTGGGCCTTTAACTTTCTTTGCTATTCTCTGCTGCGGAACGCACGTCGGTTCCTGTTGTTCAGTATGTGCTTGTTGTGTTTTATGTAGACGGGAATGGGGGCGACTAGGAGAAATATTATTTCTATCGTTTGAAGTATGAATTAGAGGGAAATTATTTTCTCCTAGCGGTATGAAGCGTTCACATGGGTTATCTGCCCGGTAGGTGGCGTGTTATGGGAGTATATAAGGGTGTAGATATTTGAATTTGGCATTCTCGATTAGTGCACTCCCGGCCTTTCAGCATTTAACATGTTTGTATTCTAATATTGTATTTCTGTATGTTTCAGATGATCATGATCATCGTCCGTGTGATGTGGCATGAGTGATTTAACCATGGTGGTTGGTGGGCTGTCGAGCCGTTATAATACGGTAATATGGTATTGTGTGCCATATGTCGGCTGTCGAGCCGTTATAATACTGTAATACTGGAATGTATACCATATGTCGGCTGTCGAGCCGTTATAATACTGTAATACTGGAATGTATACCATATGTCGGCTGTCGAGCTGTTATAATACGGTAATGTTGGAATGTATACCATATGTTGGCTGTCGAGCTGTTATAATACGGTGATTTGGGAATGTCGAGCGGTTATACTACGATAATATGGGAATAATGTATTGGCTGTTATGATATTGTCCATTGAATACCTCCTGTGTTTTGATGACAGAAATTGTCAGCATAAGGTATATTATGAATCTCAGGTGTATGCTTGAATGTTGTGTAAATAATGCTTATATTTATGTAATTTATGCTGCTGTTGTCAGTTGTGCATATGCTCACATCAACCTACATAAACGTATTGCTGGATTGCAGCTATGTCCATGTTTAATGTTAACGATACTGTAAACCCTCCAGTTTTTGGTGCTGCTGCTGCATTCGTTGAGGAACACGGTTCCAGAGTTTTTCTCTACGGGAGTTGTTATCTCTGGTTTACGTGTCGGGCGTCAGCATGCATTTCGTTATTCACGCATGATATTGTTGAATGTAGGTTTTGTGATGAAACAATGTAAATAAATTGGCCGCGGAACGCACGTCGGTTCCTGTTGTTCAGTATGTGCTTGTTGTGTTTTATGTAGACGGGAATGGGGGCGACTAGGAGAATTCACATAATCAGCTATTTGATATTATCCTAATGCGAAAAGTAGTCGCACGGATATTGAGGATGCTCACGTCCACTGGAATGACGTTCGACCCGTGAAGATCCGCGTTAGAATTGATCTTCAATAACCCGTGCTTGTCGTAAGAGGCCATTAACGGGATCGGGTGTCAGGTTCGCTGACTAGGTTGACACATGCCATCGTATCCCAACTGCGTAGATCGATGCTCATGCTGTTGATCATTGGACTGTCTGGTCCAAATTCGATTATTTCCAGACCGCCACCATATAGCTGGAATATTGCTGGGTGCGGCGTAAAACTAAACTATACTCACTCACTCCAAAGTTGTTCAGGGATCCAACATATGGAAGCGTATAAGTGCCACATTATTAGAATGATATTTTATTTACACTAACCTCAACGCCAAAGATATTTTGATCTACGCATATGAGACTAACAACGTAGTAACACTTTTTATCTCCAGATATGATACTAAATGCGTCCGTGGTAGTACAAATTCAAACTAAGTATAACGCAGAAAACCAGTGGTTATAACAATAAGACAATGTTGCTATAGTCACCTCATTGCACTAATGGACACGTTTCCAAATAGGCTGAGTATACAGGGTAAGGCTCATTTCCACACATTTGCAGTTTTTCTTGAAACTTGAGATGCAATGTGAGATTAGAGGAAGAGTTGAGTCCCATTAAATACTGATATTAATATCATCTTAGTCACTGGACAGGCCTATATGGTTGTGGCACTCGTGGAGAGTGCTGGATAACACTAATAGCTCTTCCCCTGTGTGGACCCGGGGTACAATAGGTCCACAGCACCCCAGTACTGGTCGTAAAAGGCGACCGAATTGGGCAACCTGTTTGCCGTTGTTTGCGCCCCTGTGTCGGTAGAGGACGGTGATCTGGTGGTTGAGCACACTGGATCCAGGAATCGCGTTGCTTTGCCCAATACACTACTTCGACCCTTAGTTCTCCTCGCTAGATGACAATACATTTGCATAACGATTGTGTAAACCTAATCTTGATTCTTTAAAAATATAATGGAACGGCCAAGAAAGGGTCAGAAAATAGAATTTAACAAATATGGATCTCTTGAGGACATGGGCGTGTCTGAAACCGTCCATTCCAGGGCACAGAGGTTGTCGCCCACTAAAATGATGAGGGCCCCAATACATCCCTCAAAGGATAAGTTTATTCCAATAATGTTGTACAGCGGAACTATAGAGGCCTAATGACTAATTTCAATGAATATACATATATCAGTCCAGGATTTTACACCATCAGCAAACATATTAAAACAGACAGATACTTTTGACCTACGTCATTTCAATGCATATCATTATTTTTCACCTTCGGGTGATAGGGCTACTGGTGGATCATCAATCCTGGTAAGGCCAAATGTTATCCATAGCCCAGTCACACCTAAAACAAATTTCCAAGCCTTGTCAGTGCGACTTACATAACAAGCTGCAATTACTCTCTGTTCATTGTATATTAACCGACCTTCATCTGCTGTCCAGTTAACTGATCTACAAACTCTTTATGACCAACTACCTAAACCCTGTTTAATCGTGGGGGATTTGAATGGCCACAATCCACTCTGCGGTGGTAATAATTCAAACACCAAAAGTAAATTACTGGAGGATTTTATTTCAAATAATGATATTTGCATTTACAATGACGACTCAAATACATATTTACATCTTGACACAGGAACATATTAGCTCTTGACTTGTCAATTACTGACTCCAACCTATTGGGTGAATTTGAATGGTCAGTCCACAATGACCTCTGTGGTAGTGACCATTTTCCTACAATACTAACATCTGTGAACCTCCATCATGGTTCAACCTCCTGGTGGTCCCCCATCATCAAGATTGGATTTTAAAAAGGCCAACGATGAATACAAACAGGCTAGGAAGGCACGGAAGAAAGCTGAGCATGATCTCCGTCGCCATCCTAAGATCCACAATTTAGGCAAATTTATAATTTTAAACTCTAAAGCAAGGTGTACTTTTAAACAAAGTAAACGCCATCCATTCCTAGCGAATGTAGGTATCAAAAATCAGTTCGCGCACGCCAATATCAAAGGCATGAAACATGATGGGAACCAATTGTTGACTAATAAGTCAGATATTGCAAATAAATTGTCTTCCTCATCTAATTATGTACCTGAATGCCAAAAATATCAAATGCATCCAATTTGGCCGAAAATATAAACCACACAAGGACCCGGAACTGATTTTAGACGGTACACCTATTAAAATGGTAAAAGAGGTCAAGTTCCTGGGTCTCATTTTCAACAAACATTTGACCTTTTGGCCACATAAAATATATGAAAAATAAATGCATGAAGGCACTAGATACATTGAAAGTTGCTTCCAACTCGAAGTGGAAGGAGACCAGAAAACCCTCTTCCAAATGTATAGAGCACTGATCCGTTGAAAACTCGATTGTTGATCTATCGTCTATGGTAGAACCTTCAAAAGCAACCTTAAACAGCTTTTTATTTTTATTTTATATTTTAACTGAATTCCCCTTGTTTATTGGCTTCGTCACCTGTCTCATTTGCTGTTCTTAGTCTCAAACTGGCCTCTCCCAATTATGTACCAGTTGTTATTCAATTCCATGTAGTAGTTAATATTAATTTGCTGTTTATGAAAACATACTCTACTATATGCAATTGAACAACTGGTTGTATTCACTTTTAGCTTGATAATGTTGTAAACATCTTAATCGAAACGACCCGTGAAGATCCGGGGTAGAATAGGTCTTCAGCAACCCATGTGCTTGCCATAAAAGGCGACTATGCTTGTCGTAAGAGGCGACTAACGGGATCGGGTGGTCAGGCTCGCTGACTTGGTTGACACATGTCATCGGTTCCCAATTGCGCAGATCGATGCTCATGCTGTTGATCACAGGATTGTCTGGTCCAGACTCGATTATTTACAGACCGCCGCCATATAGCTGGGATATTGCTGAGTGCGGCGTAAAAAAAAACAACCTCACTCACTCACTCTAAACCGAAACGTCGCTCTATGCAATAAATAAGAAGTTGTCGTCCATAAAGTTGTATGTTTCATTTTTTAGTCACCAACTTCTAGAATGCCGATCAGACAATTAGTTCTACACATAGTTCCTCACTGTATAAACGGAATCGTACAATTGCCTCTACTGGAATACATATTTCATTTAATCATAGAATGGGCTTAGTCGCTCTTATTGAGCACAAATGGTATATTTACAGATGTTGCTTAACACCCACAGCATGCGTTGTTAACTTCGTGTCAGCGAAGAAACACTCAGTTGATCTCTTTGTTATCTCCCCCTGATTCCATTTCTTCACGATATTGTTTGAAGGAACAGTTCTTTCTGGAGTGAGTGAGTGAGTCTGTCTGATGTGTTTTTTGTGTCAAAAGTGTTTTGTTCTTTTTTATTTATCAAGACAAATACAGCTGACATATGGGCTTGACACAATGTACCCATGTGGGGAATCGAACCCGGGTCTTCGGCGTGACGGGCGCACGCTTTAACCACTGGGCTACCCCACCGCCCCTGCTGACTAAGGACACAAGGCTTACGACGCACAGTTACGTTGATAGTACACCCAGTTGCCGTGAACACCACGAGATCCTGGATCAACTGAGAGAAACGTCACCGAAGCTAGGAAACAACGCTTGGTACTCGGTTCATAGTCGACGCTGAAGCAGGTGTTGTTGCTACAGAGCTGTTGGCAATCACTGTCTTCCATTGAGGGAATCTCTTCCAAGTCATGACCCCAAATTGCGTGTCCAGCATAGCGGACAAGGCCGGGTCCCAAGGTGGAACATTCTGTGGAATAAATAACAGATATCAATATCATATTACCTATCACACAGACTCACACATTCGAACTACATTATTCACTTTATTCACGAGGGAAAGACATCTCAAAGCGAACTTCACGAACTAAAGCCCTAATTCATTATGGATTGGAATAAAGAATGTAAGTCCTTTGTCAGTAAAGATTGTATATTCTGTGACACATGAACAGGCAAATATACCCAGGAGCACAACAAATACTGTCAGTACATTTATCGATAAATATTATATGAGTCACACTAAGACTAGGGTGCGAATATCCTGTAGTATATTAATGACGTCTCTTGAATTGTGAAATCCTCTGAAGATTTGACGAACCTAGGAATCGCCGTACGAATTCGATTTCGAAGAGTCTGGTTTTGGATCAATGGATTCTGCACTATGGTCGCTGACATGGGACTTTCTGGCCGGAGTCGATCGTCATCATTTTGACCTTGTTTGGGTTTGTTGTCTGCTAATCACATATTGTGATATTTGACCAATTGGCCAGTGCGTACTGACTTCCGCCAGGTTTTAAGGAAAGCCTAGAGACACACTGCGCGTTTCCAACTCATCGCTTGTTCATAATATATTGAATAATGAAATAAATTATGTAACTCACAACTGATAAACAGCATTAATAACCGACAAAATCAATAATCCACAGATGATAATCGACCTCCCTTGAAATTGTCCCAACTGGACAACAGTTGCAACAGTGGAGCTATTGCTTGATGCACGTGCAGAATATCGAGCGCGGGCAGGCGTAAACGTTCTTGCATGATTTAGTATTCCCAGAAATTATTGAGAAAGTCGTTTAGGCAAATATCTAATGTATGTTTATAAACTATAACATTTTCGTCCGACAACCACTGTTATGTGTAGCCCGCAGTGTGTATTGGGTCGTTATCATGTTGGAAAATCTAGTTATCTTCATACAGTGTTCGGGCCATAAGAAGGAGGTGATCATTTAAGATGTCAACATGTCGTTCCTTCGTCAAATCTCCAGTGAAAATACACAACGGTGTGATAATATCCTACACCACATGTGAAATATCGGGCTATGTTTTGGGCGTTGGTATATAGATTTCACGGTATCTTTTGTCCAAAGTTTGTCAAAGTCGCTGACGATCCGTAGTACTGAACTTCCTTGGCCTTACTGCCCCTGTCTTGTGCTCAGTCACAACTCCTGACTGAATATTCTTCAAAGTTCTGTATACTGTAGACAGAGGAATGTCATGTCTACCAACTAGGTCTTTCGCATTAGTCACGCCCCTTTTAAAATGATCAAGAACCAGCTTTCGTTTCTGTTCTTCTGTCAAATCTGCCATGTCAACAAAGGAGGCCGTCTGCTACACCAGGGGAGATAACTCTTGATGTAGTAAAGTTCATTCTTAAGCGTACAAGAGTTGCCTCCCATATTGAGTACCTTACTCCACAATGTAACACCTATTTTAAGACTCTATCATCAGTATAAGGAAAAAAAGATTTTCTCAATACTTTCTGGGAAAACTGTATGTTTGCCGTCAAAGCCTATCTTTGGTTAAGTCCTTGGGGCTAGATTTACGAAGCTCTCTTAGCGCTAAGATAGTCGTAAGTGCTATCCATTAACATTAACTTACGACTATCTTAGCACTAAGAGAGCTTCGAAAATCTAGGCCTTGTTGGTTTTAATAGTTACCTTTCATGATTCCTTACTGTTCCTAATAATATACTCTCCCAAAACAGAAATGCATATAGGAATATCAACTGTATTTTTATGTTTATTTTGAAACATCTTGTAGGCTTGATGAGTCAATGAAATATAGCGAAATTGCACACTGGGAATGCAGACATATCCGTCTTTTGCACCAACTCGAGGAAAGTCAGTTTGAGTGTCACATGGAGACGTTTAGTGGCGCTGAAGTCAATACCTCGTGTGACCACCGTGGGCATCCAGAACTGCACGGCATCGCCTCGGCAGCGAACAAATAAGTCTCAGAATCTCGTGTTGCCCAATCGCAGCCCACTCTGCCTGTAGTGCCTGTGCGAGTTGCTGAAATGTCTGGGGCTGAGGGTAATGGCGTCGCGCACCGTCGTCTGTCCGGTGATCTTGAGGGCCAGGGGGGGAGCACATTGATGTTGTGGTTCTGGAGGAAGTCTCTAGTGTGACGTGCTGTGTGGGGCCTGGCATTGTCCTGTTGAAACAACTCCCTCTGGCGATCAATGATTGGAAGGAGGTGTGGGCGTAGGATATCGTCACAGTACCGTTGAGCTGCCATGTTGCCCTGGATCATCACCAAATCACTTCTCCTACGGCAGGTGATCGCTCCCCACATCATAACACTGCCCCGGCCGAATCTGTCCACCTGGGGAACGCAAGCGTCGGCGAAACGTTCACGTCGACGTCTGTACACCCGCATTCTTCAATCGCGTCGTTCCAATAGAAATCGTGATTCATCACTGAACCAGATTCTACGCCAATTCGGTAGGTTCCAGGCGTGAACGTTGGTGCACCATTGAACTCGATGTCGACGATGTTGTTGTCGAAGTACAGGGCCAAAATAAGGTCTTCTGGCACGTAAACCAGCCTCTTTCAACCTGTTCCTGACGGTCTGTGCAGTCCGGGTATTTGTCGAGCGGTACTGGTCGCTGTAGCTGTTCGATGACGCAGGTGATGTACCCGGATGTAGCGATCCTACGCCGCAGTGGTCGCTCGAGGTCGCCCACTACGAGGGGCATCTGCTACCGCATTCTGCCTCTCCCAGAGCCGTGAAATGGTGCTTTGGTGAATATTCATGCGTCGGGCAACTGCACGTTGAGACTGGCCAGCTTCAAGCAAACCAATGGCGATATGACGGTCGGCCTCACTTAGACGTGGCATTTTGCGTTCGTCAACAATATTCCAAATACAGTGAATAATCGACAGACAGCGATCAACCTTTTATACCCACCACTGAGACTATCTGATCCCCAACTTTCACGTGCATTGCATGTGAATTGTGTATTCTGTGACACTACACGCCGAAATTGACAATCATGCTGTTCAATACGGGTATTTTACGGATGGTGCGTTTTGTTGTGATGTTTCAAAACATAAACACCATAGGACTCAAAAAATAGAGCAAAACCTTTTGTTTTGTCACATGAAATTGCTATTTTCATGATGCATTTTTTTTTTGGAGAGTATATATACTAAGAATTAAGAATAAAACGAGTGAGTTTGAATTCTATTATTTGTATAACAACGCAATCATTACACGTTTTTCCTCTTCAAGAGAAGAAAAACATATTATATATCGTAAAACGGACTCTTAATTGATTCAAACTGAAGTGTAAGAATACTTCAACCAATTCACATTCACCATACTTAAAAGCCGTTTTTCTCACCATTAAGCAATTTGGGAATACGTGAATTTGGTAAGGATTGTAAACCAGGCTGGTGTGATAAATATATGTGCTTATTAAGGCTTGTTTCTTTGTTTGTAGTGAAAGTAGCACTCGACGATATCCCAGCTATATGGCGGTAGCTTGTAAAGAATCGAGGCTCGCCCAACCCAGTGATTGACATCTTCAGCATCGATCTACACAATGTTCGTTGACAAAATACATACATGGCGTGAAAGCGACACTCCCTAAATACAGGCGTTACCGACTGGTTCTGGTCCTATCGTAGATGTCTCACCATTTCATTCCACACATATACTATAGATTAAAGGTTTATAGAAACAGTGGGTCATGGCAGTACACTAACGCTGCCTCAGATGGTCGCTTACAACATGTGCAACATGCTGGTTGGCATTGTTGTTGCACCATTGCGCCGATAGCTTGAGGCCATGCTCGAAATAGTTTTGTCTTGGAATCCGATAGAAGAAGTGTTGTCAGCGCTTTCAAATGGACAGTTAAATTGTTAACATTGATTTTGGTCCCCTTTGTGTGAACATTGATTCAAGGAAACTGAGGTTCAATTATTCATTGTAAGCAATAGTATATGTACAGATTTTAGCAAGAAGAAGCTGTTATCACCACCTCGCTTTTCCTATTTGCGTCATATATTTTTAAGTGGTATGAACACACAATAACCATTGTCTGGTACTGTGGAAATATCAATTATACTTGCCATGCTGCTTGACATGTGAACACCACAAACCAATGACGGCTTAAGAACAGACTTACGTTCGTGTTTTGTTTAGAATCACTTATGTTGTCCGAAGTATTGGAAATGAAACTTTGTCAAACCCGACATTATAAACAATGTCGTATTTACCGTAAAGTGGCACATTTCTGTAACGGTGTATGTCACGGTGATTGCCAGGGTAACACGTTTCTTGACGTAACTATTGTTTTCTGATATTTTACTTTTCATTTGGCTTTGGTACATCAATACAATTCTAAAAACTGATTCTGTTCTTATTTTTAAAAAATGACACAAAATGTGTTAAATTACTGAGTAATGTGAGTAAACACGTTTCTCAACATGGCTGCCGTGAATTATTTGCGGAAAAGTAGGCGTTAACATTTGTGAAGTTGAAGTTGCATTTGAAGAAGCAGATGAAGTTGCGCCTTCATAACGCCAGCGTTTATTTTGTCGTCGACGACCTTATCAAAGACATATAATACGGCCTTTATGAGTTAAACCACACCAATATCCTTTGGAGGAGGTGATGTTTATATAAACTCCAGCAGACACCTCGTGATGCACTCGGTGCTTATACTTCTCCTGTAGACCGTGCCAAGTTCACAAACGTATTTTGAAGATACTAATTTTCACGCTCTTAGGATGAAGTAACCTCGGCGGACGAATAGGGCAGCTGTAACTTTGAATGGGGCTTTTGAATATTTAATGTTTAGTGTTGGTTGTTTATACGGTACAGGGCAACAATACACTGCATGCTGTATACTGGCGCCAATTCGCTACACGACACGGTTAGGTGAAGCTATTCGTACTCGTGGAAGGAAGACCTGTTAATTAAATATTTGGAGAAATACTTTTATCAGTCCCCAACGAGGTGGAAAGAACTCTTGGAGTAAAACGGATCAGAGTGAAGATGAGTGACGGTGTTGGGATGTTAAGTGCATTGGTGTCAGGGTTGGTGTGAAGATGTTGGAATGTGTTAATGTGAGAGTGTTTGGTAAAATCATGTGAGTACTGGATGTGATGATGAGAGCGTGTTGGATGTGATATGGATGTCTAGAGTTTGAGCAGGATGTGAATGCATGGTAGAGTGTGCTGTGTTTGATAATGCACGTGCGTGTAAATCTGTCAAATGTAAGAGTTCTAACCCGACAAGCAGGGTCAGTTAATTGTGCTAAAAGAAGGTTCTAACTACCTGTGACACAGGCCTGTTGTGAGGGGGAAAACCAGAGCCCAATCTGACAGGTGCACACTCCATCATTGCACACAGAGGTCGCCACATGACAGTCGCCATCACTGGTACAGGCACTACCTATGAAGTGGGCGGCTGAAAAGACACAACAACAAAGTAAACATTTATGTGCTGTCACTTTTCCCTAAAGAATCAAATGCCATGACACTAACACCCTGTTGCGAGTAATCTTCTTTTGATCCCCAGAACCCGTGAAGATCTGGTTTAGAATTGATCTTCAGTAACCCATGCTTGTCGTAAGACGGCATCGGGTGGTTAGGCTCGCTGACTTGGTCGACACATGTCATCATATACCAGTAGCGTAGAACGATGCTTATGCTGTTGATCACTTGTTTGGTCCAGACTCGATTATTTACAAACTGCCGCCGTATAGCTGGAATATTGCTAGTGCGGCGTAAAACTAAACTCACTCACTCCCTTTGGTCGCTAGAGGTCTCTTGCAACGCATAGCGCCTTTGGCGCGCTGTAAAATCTTTTGCAGCTACGTGGGAACCCCTTTCATATCCCAGTGCAGGATGTCAGTCTGTGTGAAAATAGATAATGTCTTTGTGTAATGCATACCTTAGATATTTGCAAATATCAGACTGATGTTAACTTAACGCTTTGCGGCTAATTGGTAGTCCCTTACAAAGATTTGTACTTCTCATTTAAAACGCCAAACTTCTGTACTTCGTTTTTGAATTTCATAATGTTGGAATCACTGGACTGCTGTAACATATAAAACTCCACTACCTTCAAAATTTATTGTGATTTGATCCTTTTCCTTCTTTCTTCCTTCAACCCTTCACTCCACAATGTGAATACACGTATTCCAGTTAAAATAAACCGGCTTGGCCATCGCTTTGAGTTATGACAGATTAAGTATGATGGGTCTCCCGTAGATGGTGTTTAGAGTAATCTCCCCCTGGTCGCTTGATGTCTCTTTCAATGCATGGCGCATAACTGACGTTCTTTCGGCCACGAGTATCATTTTGGCAAATCCCCGCATATTATTGGTTTGCGAAATTAAATGCAAGACGTCTGTAATATAAACTATAGCTCATTATAGGTAAGTCCAAAAACATTTAAAGTAAATTTAAACTTATCACCTTTTTAATCGTAGAATATATGTTCTTTCAATGTATGGCTAGATTTGTCCAAATTTCTGACAGCTGAAAGAATGGTGTAAATCCAGCTTGGGTCCATGCAGGAAGCAAATGTACTGTATGTCCCCGTGGTCCATAGTATGGTGATCTACCTTCAGTTGTTGGCAATCTATAGACCATTTTTATATTGTACCGTTAAACTTTAAATATTGTGCTTTATGGTTATATGCTAGATTTAAGTATAAATCTGTGATAGACTAGTTATTTTATTGTCCTTTGCAGATAGGTAAGTATATAAGTTTGCTTATATTTCATGTATACATTTATAAATTTACAACTTTCAAAATCACGATATGGCTGACATACAGCCGATGTGACTTCAAATTTTAACTCACTCACTCACTCATAGCTCATTATACGTGAGGAAATTATTCATTATTAAATCAGTTTATCTTGAGTATTTCATGGTGTTGGCATGTTGCATTTAACAAATACACTTTACATTATCATAAGAAATCTCTCATCTCTTCTATTGCCATTGTGCGATTCAGATAACATCATGAGTATGTGTTAACTAATCCCTATACAAAAGCAATGATACCCGGTGTTCGCAAAAAAGGGAGCGAAGTGCTCAATCGCAGGTACCCGTCACAGACACATGCGAAGGCAAGTCAATTATTCACCTGAAAAATCGTGAGAACATATTGTCAAAACAGGGAATAGCAGCAGACGTTCTTTCGTCATTGATGTGGAAAAGTTAGTATGTTTCCGTCCTATGTCTACCATGAATGCTTGACAAAGGCATTGGATGTAATAAGCCTGATCAAAGAACCTTCGATCAACCGTTGAAGACGTTGAAAGAGCCGGCCCGACTGTATTTCGATATTTGAATAAGTATTAACGGTTTATAGAACACTCAAATATTTTCTTCATAATACCCTGTTTCTACTGTTTACTATCAATAATTCCAATTTTCTTTCGCAACCTTTTGTTTTTATTTATTTTGTTAGAGCCAGAATGATTCAGCCAGACAAATATCTATATCTATCGATTAATAACACCTGCTAACTAGTGTACCGTTCCTGTTATAATTTAGCATCGACGGGTATGAGAAACCAATAGAAGAGTGCACGTTCGATATCGGTCCTGCAGCATGTAAGTCATAGTATAACACACACTATCTACTGAATAAAAGATAGGATGGTATTCAGCCTTACTGCAGGGTAGTTGGTGATAATGTTTCACGGGTAAGTAATCACGTAAATGTGAACATACCGACGAACCTCTGCTCCATGCAATTTGTAAAGAGCAACCTTGAACAAGTATTTTGGTTGTCAGTCAGTCATGCCCAGTGCGGGATGGAGAGGTAGTCATTCTTAATATTACTGACAGCAACGAGCAACACAGACAGCTGCAACCATTCAAAGGGCCACAACGTCACATCTCTGCAGACACTGTTCGTCGTCGTCTGAGGGCAGCAGGGATCAGATGTCGCCGTCCTTACGTCGGACCGATTCTGACGCAACGTCACCGCCAAAATCGTTTACAGTGGGCGCAACAACACCAGCGTTGGCGACGTCAACAATGGCAACAAGTGTTGTTTTCTGATGAGTCCAGATTCAACTTGTCCCACGCCGATGGCCGATTACGTGTATGGAGACGACGTAATGAACGTTACGCCAACTGTTGTGTTGTGGAAGCTAACCGCTGGGGAGGTGGAAGACTCATGGTATGGCGTGGCTTCAGCTACCACCACAGAACACGTTTACACGTGTTTCGTCAACGTGTGACTGCTGTAGTCTACAGAGACCAGGTCTTTCAACACCACGTTGTACCGCTCTTCCAGGCCCAACCTCAGCTCCAGACGTTCCAGCAGGACAATGCTCGTTCTCACACTGCACGGGTCTCTATGGACTTCCTCTGAGGGAACAACATTGCTGTACTGCCCTGGCCCTCTCTGTCCCCGGATATGGCACCAATCGAGCATGTGTGGGATGAAATTGGTAGACGGATACAGACAGCTGCTCAAGCTCAAAACCTTAGAGATTTGGAAGCCATATTGGTCAGGGAATGGAATCAAATTCCCCAAGCCTTCTTTCAGACACTTGTTGACTCGATGAGACGTCGTTGTGCTGCCTGCATTGCAGCCAATGGTGGTCACACGCGCTACTGATTGACACACTGTTTCGTGACATTTTTGGTGTGTGAGGGTGGAGTGATAACATATGCTTTTACAGTACACTTGAGTGTTGTTTTCACCAGAGATCACGACTCATTTCTTCAACAATCACTTGTCTGTTGTTTTTTCGTAGTGTTAAGATTGTTTGTTCCACAGATTCAGAAATATTGACATTTCTAAATCAACTTGCGTTTCTTTGGCGGTTCAGTATATTACTGTTGTCATTTCAAACCACGCGGTGGGGTAGCCTAGTGGTTAAAGCGTTTGCTCGTCACGCCGAAGACCCGGGTTCGATTCCCCACATGGGTACAATGTGTGAAGCCCATTGCTGGTTTCCCCGCAGTGATATTACTGGAATTTTGCTAAATGGGGCGTAAAACTAAACTCACTCACTCACTCACCACTCAAACCACCTGCTACAATGGTACAATAAAAGCCTGTAATTCAATAAGGTTTGTCAGAGAAAACATCAGTTCAGAATTTCTAAGTATTTCTACAAACTCTCATTATAAAATAGGAAATTGAGGTAATGCCTCGGAAGAAGCTGAAACATGAATTACATATTTCACATTTTGTAACAATTACTTTGAACTAAGAAAGCATATGAGGAAATATTCTTGAACTTCAGACGTATTTGGCACTCAGCAATATTCCAGCTATATGGCGGTGGTCTGGAAATAATCGAGTCTGGACTAAGCAATCCAGTGATCAACATCATGAGCATCGATCTACGCTATTGGGAACCGATGGCATGTGTCATCCAAGTCAGCGAGCCTGACCACCCGATCCAAATAGTCGCCTTTTAGGACAAGCATGGGTAACTGAAGATCAATTCTGACCCGGATCTTCACGGGTTCTATGTCCGGAAGTACAATTGCAGCTTTAAAACGGTTCTCGATGTCATGGAAGAAGACATGTTTTTTTGTCATTTTCAGACGATAGTTTTACCGACAGGATTTTAAATATCGATTCTAGCCTGTGTTTTAAAACAAGCTTTATCTGCTAATTAAATGTAGGGTATGTCAGTATATTTCGATTAGATGTAATGAGACACACTGGCAGATACTTTCTAATTATAGGTGTAATATATAATAATAATTTGAATTCGTTTAGGATAAAATGGGTTTGTTTGTACAGATGTGTTGCCGTTCTTATTGTGTTATGACGACATAACCAAGTCTCCAAAGCTTCATATAATTATAAAAACTAGACAAAACAACAACGTCAATTTCGACGAAGTAAAATTATCGCAAAGCCTGACGTTGATTGGCAGCTGTACGTGTAGCCATTTAGTTTGTTTGATTTTTTAAATACATTACGACAGTTTCGTTTGTTTTCAATTTTGATTGCTCTTGAAAGCAATTCAATGACTTTTGTAAAAATGTTCATAGAATCTATGTTATTTACTGATTTCATAATTAAGTTCTATACAGTAAAATCTGTTTGTCTCAACAAGTATAAAAACCCATTAAGCGCGTAACGTCTTAAGTGTCATTTCCAAGATGTTATACGGATTGCGGATATAAATACAAACTCGTTTTAGGTTTTACCCCTGCTAGACACGATAAACATATGAACGGATTTCATAAAGGCTACGTACTAATTAGTAACCTAGTCCCGGAATACCAATTCTAACCCGGATCGTCTAACCAAGTCTAACACGGTATATTATCTATGAGCACCAACATGGATATGATAAGGATGTCCAAACATATTCGACAATGTTTATTATGCTTAAAAATATTTTCATTAGATTCTAGTACATACAATCCATTTTCGGGATATTCTGGTGTGCTTCACAGAGTTTGGGA